TTTAACTTAAATTATGTGTATCAAGAGCTAAATAGAATATCCTCTCTCTCAGGACAAGCTCATAAAAACTGACATAACATCAGAAAAAATACACATATACATATAAAACATATACATTATCTTACAGTAAAAGAAGGCGGGTGAGCCTTTATTTTAATGGGGCCACTACAACCCTGTCAAGCATAATGAAGGTCTTCATTTTCTCCCATTTTGGGAAACACTAGTGTCTATGAATGAGCCGTCCCATGATGTGGCCAGCTCACCACAGGCTGCGACCACATCAGCACACCCACAGAGCCAATAATAGGATGCTTTTAGTGTGTGTGTGTGTGTACGTTCACAAAGACATGTGGGTATGGGTGTGACTCTCACATGCACACAGCCTTTCCACGTTTGCATGTTTACCGTGTCTCTAGGATTAAAACTAAAGAGAATCTGATTCTGTTTTGTGTGTGTATACCTCATAGGATTTGGTCTCCAGGTCTTTGAGGTGGTCTTCGGCTCCAGGCAGAGTCTTGTAGTAGGCCATGTTCCTCTGCATCATCTCATCATCTGGGTGCTTCAGCAGGAAGGTGTGGGCAGCAGACACCGCCTTGGCCAGGTTTTCAGACTGGGCGAAACAACACAAGCACACAGACATTTATTATCAAGAGATGAAATAATACAAATGCAGTGTTGAGGTACGATAAATAATGAGTTGTTACCAAAGACTTTATAACTGATAAATCACAGATAAATAACTCTGAATCAAGGATTAAATGGTGGATAAATAGAAAACATGTGTTAGTTTTGTTATGCTCAGTGGTGGATTGGGAATTATTAAGGAACTGTTTATTAGTAATTACCATTAAGTGTCAACTTTACAATGGGCAATCATATACTTTCTCATGTCAGGGGCCCTAAAAGAGAAGAGAATTACCTTCTATTCGTCCACATTTTGTACCACAGAAGAGATCAGAAGATCAGCTGATGGTGCGACTGAAGAAACCCTGAACCCACACTCACAGTCATATAATCTCCCAGTTTTACCCAGTTACACCCTCCAGTTGTCTTCTACATGTGTCTGTACCTTTAATGGAGGGACGAGCACTTTCTACCAAAAGACATTTCCTCATTAGATGTGTTGAAGGTGGTGGTGTAAACACATCAGTGTGTGGATATATTGTTTTCATACTAATCAAACCATTCTGGGTGTAGATATGTTCCTAGAGTAAAGCTGATCACTGAGATTCATTTGGTGACACTTTATATTAAATCCAACAATTATTCTGTGTATCTGCATGTTTCTCTACTCATTTTCACTTTAATTTGTCTTACCTCATGTGTTGTATGTCTTAATTAGACCATTACCGTCTCAACTACATAACCTGAAATCTAATCATAATTCCAACCTTTGCCCCTGAATGAACAGTGATTATAACCTAATCCCAAATCCAAACTGCCTCCAACAGTGTGGTTTCTCATTGTAGAGGCGATAACCAGTAAAATGCCCTCATGTGTCTTTATGAGTGTGTTACCCTCCTTTTTTGTTTTTACTTCCTAACAGGGGGACAAGACAAGTAGACAACACAGGCAGACACAGGTAAAAGTTCGGGACCTCCTCTGTGCATCCGTGGCACGTAGGTGACGTCAGAACGCATTTCTGGAGTGACGTTACAGTCGGGTATGTCCACAGTAAAACCATCATCTCACTGATCATCATCACAAGTAAATAAACACACATGTATAACCACACACGTCCTCTGTCTTTTGGCTTTAATGTGCATTTGACCCTCCTGATGACCTCGTATGTAACGCATGCTCTTACTTTGAAGTAGGCGAACTGCAGGTATTTGTACGGCTCTCTCCTCTCAAACTCATCTATGGTGTCCCTGCTGGGCATGGTCTGCCTGAATGCGGGCAGCCCCTGCTTGCAGCGCTTGAGGCACTGCGCCCTCTTCATCACATTGCCAAACGCCCGCAGTTCTGGAAACTCCGCAAACTTCTGCTCGTCGTCCAGCCGCACGGAGCTGCAGTTGAGGTTGCAGAAGGCCTCGCTGTCCCGCAGCAGCCGGTACAGCCGCAGGGACACCTCCATGTACTCCACCGTCTCCTTCCACTTCTCCCCGGTGTACTGGTCCAGCGCGTATTTGTAAGCGGACTCCAGAGGCATCAGCTCATTCCTGGGGAAGCTCCTGAAGCTGTATTTTTCATACTGGGAGTTCACGACTGAGGCGGAAAGTGCGATTAATAGCGCGGAGAGGAGTTGGGAAGAAGTGGAGGGTTCCATTTTTAAGTTTGGTAAATGGTGGAGGGGCTGGCTGGGATGATCCCGGACTTGTCTGACGGTGTGCGTGGGTCTCTAGGACCGCCTCAAGTTCCACCACGTATCCGGACAAAGTCTCCCCTCCCCCGGGCGCAGGGCTGGAGCAGTTGCTACGGCGCGGGTGGGGGTTGCTTGAGCTGCTCCTCCCATTAAATCACAAAGTAAATCACTGCTGTTGTTCTGTCCATGTACAGAACAAGTGAAAACCTGACAGAGATGACTTTTGTATAACACAACACATAACTGAGGGAGGAATTCTTTTACTTTTTAAATAAAGGGCAAAGTAATTTAGCATATTTTTAAATTACCAAGAACATATTGTTCTATAAAATACTTCTCTTTAAAGTTAGTTAGTTCTCCCCTCTCGGTCACTAATTTAACCCCTGTTGAGAGGGGAGTGTCCCTCCCCCTCCCACTGCCACGTAGAGACATTCCTGCCTGGTCTGCACCCCCTCCAAAGGCCCTGAAGCCCACCAACACAACAGGATCATAAAACAAGATATAACAAGAAACTTTATTTGTCTTGCTCTGTGTCAATATTTGACTGCCATTCAGAGGCGTATCCAGATGTGTGCATTAATTTGATTTAAATGAATCCAGAGGGGGAGGTGTCTCTCTGCAGCTGTATGGAGACCCCTACGTTACCACGTTGACACATCTCAGGGGCTGCACTGCGCAAGAGCAATACGTGGTGCCCAAAACTCTCATTCAATCCCAAAGGGCGTCAAGTCAGCTAGAAAAAAGCAGGATGCGACAGGAAGTGTGTGTTTCAATTTCAAAATAATAGCATAATCGGTTACTTAAGCTTTCTTTGTACTCCTTTGTATCAGAAACAGACATCGGAGAATTTATTTTCACGCGTATTTATTTCAGTTTTTTTCAAGAAAACATCGCATTTGAACCACCAGTTGAGGTTTTAGCTTCAAAGTTTAACCGGATGTCGTGTATTATTTGTCTGCCTTGACACGTGATCATTCCTATGCTGGGACCAGGGGCAGGACTTCTATCCAAGTCGGAGTAGAGGAAACCGAAGTACCAGCGAACAGGGAGGCAGCGCGTACACAAACAGGCCGTACACACTGTTATCTCCATCGTCTGATAGATTTTTGGCAGTGAAAATGATCCAGTGCGTGCAGATGATGTTGTATTTGTCGGTTCTGGTGGCGTTTGCCGCCTGCAACGCGCCCCCGGTACCGTTAGACGACATCTTCATTGAGAAAACTTTCGTGCCAGAGCAGTGTGTGCGCGCAGTCAAAGTCGGGGATTATGTCAGGTATCACTACATTGGCACGTTTCCGGACGGCAAGAAGTTCGACTCCAGGTGAGTATCACGCAAAGAATACATTCATTCCCACGTTAGTCGCTGCGTGCAGAGCAAAACCGGGTGCACGGTGCGAACAGCGTGCGCGATGCGTAAAAGTGCGCGTTTAGTGGTTCGCCCCTGTTAGCCACGCAGGCAGGGAGACTGACTGAGCTCTGGATCCATAAAGGCTTAATCCAAAGGCTCCAAAACCTTTACATATCAACGACCACCAGAGGGATTACACAGAGGATCCCAATTTGATCAGAGGAAGAGGTTTTTTTTCCATTATTGGAGATTTATTATAGATTAATATAATTTTACTTAATCACACTCCATTGAAACCTGTAAACCAATTCCATATGTTTAATGCTGCTCCAGGACCTCTGAAGGTCCCTAGACTCCACTTTGGGAACCACTGACATAGTCAACAGTAGTAACAGTGTATCAGTGATCACCCACCAAGGGTCCCCAGACCCCCAAGGGTCCCATAGGCCCAATGTTTACTGTGTGCCACTTGTTCTTTGGTAATTTAATGAACTGCCCATTTGTTAAAGAATGTAAACTAATAAAGTGCAACATCAGTAAGGCCGGCCCTTGCAGTATTAGTTAATTTTGTGGCCCTATTTTGTAGAGGGGCCCATATATATTCATTAAAAAAGTAAGATTTTTCACATTTTAATCTGCACATGTGTATCCGTATGATATATAAAATCACAACCTGTTAAGATAATCAAACTTAAATCTCGCGTCCTGAATAACTTTAGTCCAGGCACAAACTAATACTAAAAGCAGAATTTGCATGAAACACTATATTAAGGTCTTGGAGCATTCACTCCCTCTTGAGTCCATTTTGATGAATCTGAACATTTGGCCACTGTGACATCATATGAAAGTTTTGCCAAAGTGACTTTTCAAAGCCAGATGAGTTTAATTGAGCTCTGTGAATTTCAGTTACGACCGTGGCAGCACCTACAACGTGTTTGTTGGCAAGAAGCAGCTGATTGAAGGCATGGACAAGGCTCTGGTGGGGATGTGTGTCAACGAGAGAAGTCTGGTCAAGATCCCACCTCACCTTGCCTACGGAAAACGGGGATATGGTGCGTATGTTTGAGTGTGTTTTAAACTTCCTGTCACATTAGCGCATCCCTGTGTCGCATCACGCCACTGGCTGATTATTCTGAATCCATCAGTGCACAGTTTAACATGTTCTCCGTTAAGTTTGAGGTCGGGCCAGTGTTTATTCCTCTGGGGTGTCATTATAAATACACAGATGAGTGAGCACTGCTCGCCATAACAATGACAGAATTTGGTCGGACATTGGCATGAGCATAAGGGACAAAAATTACAGTCTTTCACAGAAGGCACCGTATTATGTTGTACTAGAGTCAGGCGAAGCAAAAAGGAAGTGGGCTGCTCCCAAGCGTCCATGTTGAATGATGTCATCACAGACCAGGAAGCTGGTCAGAGGAAGCTGCTCTGGATCAAGATTTTTCAGCTGTTAGCAACTGCTCTGCAAATGCTGGAGCATCAGCAGCTGCAGATAAACGTAATCTGTATATAAATATTGGCCACCAGGGAGAGTGTTTGTGTCAGAAAATGTTAATAAATTTGGACATGATTGTAGCGATGAGAAGAAAAATGCCGGGGCTTTGTTTACATGTAGAGACCAGTGCGTCAGTGTATGTATTTGTGTGTGTGTGCATGAAATAGTTTGATAATGTGAGATAGAGGAGGCATGTATGGGCAGGTAAAAGCTGGGGCTGTGTCCTCTACCGCCAGTCTGTCTTAGAGGGAACATCAGAAAAAAAAGAAGAAAACAGAGAGATTTTGGAGGAGGTAGGAAGAGATTTAAACCGGAAAGAAACCTACCAGCTCATCAGGAGTAAAGGTTTTATGGCTGCCACCCACACAGTTCTCACACCCCTACTCCACCTCCTCCTCCCACCTTTTTTGCTTCACCTTTGTCTCCTTGTTATGTCTTCTGGACACTTGTTGAGCTACTCAAAGGCTCAAAAGGCAGCTTTATACGCATCCAAAGAGCAGCAGTAAGAGATAACCGTTATTTTTACATTTTACAACCAGAAATAGTGAGTGAGTAATAAGTGACTCATGCTCATGTTTGCAAACAGAGCTGGCTGAGATGTTGCACTCACCAAAATAAAAGTTGGCTTTAACTTGAAGGACGGATCAGACAAGGCTAACACTGAGGACACCACAGTCATGTGCTATTTCTGGAAATCTGGGGGGGTTTATCGACATAATATGGAGTTTACTTTGGGCAATTATACATTTATTTCCAGGGCTGCAATTAATAATTGTTTAAATAATCAATTCATGTGCAGATTATTTTCTTGATTCATCCAATCTTCCATTTGGTTTTGTATTCAGTTTTGTCCATAAAAAATAATTGAAAACATTTATAATCAAATTGCTTATTTTATTTTTTGGGGCTTTTAATGCCTTTATGATAGAAATAGACAGGAAAGGGGGAAGGGGATGACACACCAGCAAAGGGCCGCAGGTTGGATTCGAACCCTGGGCCCGTTTCCTGCCGTAACAGTGACTAAGCCATCGGTACATGGCGACGCCAGCTCTACCCACTGAGCTAACCGGGCGCCTAAATTGCTCATTTTATTTGACTTATTTATATGACTTATTTAAAGTGCTTATTTTATTTGACAAAAAAAAGTCACAACTCACTCATTTACTAACCAAATGTAACCATAATAAAGAATCAGCCAACAACTTCTCACACTATAATTAAACAAGACAAAGATAGCAGGAGTCTGTTTAAAGACTTACTTTCTCTCTCTTCAGGTGACATCATCCCTGCTGACTCTATCCTCCACTTCGACGTCCTGCTGCTCGATGTGTGGAACCCGGAGGATGGCGTCCAGATCAAAACCTACCACACACCCTCGATCTGCTCCAGAAAGGTGGAGGTGTCTGACTATATTCGCTATCACTATAATGGCACCTTGCTGGATGGGACGCTGTTTGATTCCAGGTTTGTTTTTTATATTATCTCAGTCACACACAGGCGGTCACACAAAAACATGTGTGTATGTAACCTCTCGCCTTCATTCTTCCCTGTAGCCACACCCGCATGCGTACCTATGACACTTACGTCGGGATTGGGTGGCTGATCGCTGGTATGGATCAGGGCCTTCTGGGAATGTGTGTTGGAGAGAGACGCATCATCACTATGCCACCGTCGCTTGGATACGGAGAGAACGGAGATGGTGCGTATTAATACTTTCTTTATTAGTATGTGTTTCATTGAGTCTGACGAGCTTCCCCTCCTTTCAGAATAAGAATAGATTGATCTTTACAGTGCAAAGCAACATGTGTTGTAGTTGCACACTTGGAACACAAGGTGGCAGTACATCACACACATATGCATTGTAACCTTTGACAGTATGTGATTGTAACTGTAGGTCTCATCTTGTTTCACCCTCTTAGTCAGAGATGGAAAATATAATAACTTCTTACATATTTTTACATACAAAGATTATTTTCATGATAGAGTTTGTCTTCATTTCCCAGCCAAAGGTGTACAGAGGACAATTTGCTGTTTTCAGTGAGTTTCTTTACTGGTCTATTTCTTAGCTGGGGCCAATAACCTGGAATCTCAGCTGGTTGCCTAGCAACTGCACAGAGACAAGAAATAGTTTGGTACTTAACTTCAAATAAAACCTCATACGAAATACTCATGGGGTGGCAATTATGTAGATTTGCTTGGAAAAGTCCAAAA